AGTGGTCGTTCCCCCCTAAAAAGGTACTAGGTGCTACAAATGTTTGCAACTCCGTCGATGGTAATAACCAAATGATGGTATCAGATAATTAATAAATAATTAATGGATGCTGCAAAATTTATATCACGTGGGTAGACCCATCTGCAACAAATGGTTTCTAGTAGTTGGCAAAGAGTTAATGAATGTTACAATTTTTTTATTACTTGGATAAACTCACCGACAACAAATTTCTTCATAAAGGTTTATTGTTTTGCCTCTGTAACTTCGCTAGGAGCAGAGGTATAGGGATTGATTCTACATACAAACGTTGTCAATGACCTTTCGAATATACTTTGCACATATAACTAGTATGTTCACTCTCCAAATATTTTTGAAATTGGTGAAAATTGCATTAGTATAACATTCGTTAGGGCAACTTTACGTGGGATGTGGACTGAATATTGTTTAGGGTGCACCTTGGTGATAATCAGCGAGCTAAGGATTGAAGATACGTTGTTTTAGTTATGCGGGCAATTGCATTATTGCGTTATATGGAAAGAAAAGAATATCGTAACTGTTGTCTTCAAAGGTAAGTACCTCAAAGATATTGCGTTGAAATCCAAAGTTAAGCACCATATAAGTATGATAATTAAATGTGATTGATGAATGAAAGCCACTAAAGTGGAAAACAGGACAGAGAGACGTACCTAGATCCACAATACTTAAGCCGAAAATCATAAGTTGATAGGTATTAAAGACTCGAAGGTAAAAATTGTGAAGTGGTTGTTAAACCACCGGTCCCCCCACTGCGAAACCCCCTCTAGTTCCTGTGAGTTAGGGCCGGGTTGTACGGAGGGGCGACGACTGTACGGAGGCGCCGGGTTGTTCGGAGAGGTCGGCGGGTCCAATCCCGCCATTTTGCAAACGACAACTTTCCCGATTTTTTGTGCTCATAAAAATTCGCCAAAATGTCTGAAAATTTAAGGGTCCGTAAATTAGGTCGTGATCTTTCAGGGGAAAAAAAAAAAAAAAAAAAAAAAACAATTTTCACCGTGAAATATCCACCTCGCCAATTCGGTTTATTTCAAATTATTTTTCGCAAATTTTATTTTTGAAGCCTGAGGTTTTCTGACGTCAGGAGAACCGGTTTTCCACATTGTACTACCGGTACCCGTCGTGAAACGGTTCTACCGGACCCCTGAGGTTTTCTGACGTCAGGAGGACCGGTGGTTTAAATGCTTAGTATGGAACTAGATGATCGGTCTCTTTGTTTACAGTAAAGGGGTAATATTTTGTAGTCCTATTGGGCTAGAGGGAACACCGCATCCTAGTAGGAACCGCATAGGTTTCAATGGCTAGTTAGGGAAAAACAATATGGTCAATGGGTCCGCTTTATGATTAATATCGATTGGGTGGGTCAATGGCAACTAGCTTTATGGTTCAGGTAGAATGAAGTCAATAATAAGTAGAATAGCAAATAGGTTAGAGGTGGTATAAAATTTCGGAACCACGATGCTCGGTCTTTATCTTCACAGTAAAAAGGTAGTAGTTGAGGGTGAAGTGGGCAGGAGGGAGTGTCGAGGAACTACTTTCGGTTTCACGATCCCACCAATAGACACTAACGAATTGGGTGTTCAAAAGGAAAAACTTTGTATAAAATTTGATCCTCTTGAAACTTTTTGTTCACATGGCTGATTAAGGTCATGTATGGGTAGGCACAAGTGGTTAATCGAGACCCGCACTTTCAACTCCTAAGTAACGGGTCTACAACTTAAATCAGGGTTTGAGGGTTATAATTTATATTTTTTTTGTTTGTCCTTTTTTTTATTTTCAAAAGTTTAGTGTGTATCAAATTCGGTATCATTTTGGATCATTTAAATTTTTATAATGAGATTTATGAAATTTTCAAGATTTTTTTAATTTGAATGTTGACAAAATTTTATGAAAGTGCATTTTTGCCTTGATATTTTTTTATTTTTTTTGTTTTTTTTAAGTAGTTACTATGATATTCACTTTGTGAATTGGTGGCAAGTTTGGTTAAAATCTAGGCTACCACCCAGGTCGCCCGGGTCCCTGGTCGCCAGCCTGTGCAAGAACCAGAGAAGGTCCCAACAAAAAACAAATAAAAAAAATCCAAAAAATCTAAAAAACACAATGTTATGCAGAAAAATAAACTAAGCAACTTTTGTCTCAGGGTAATATCGAAATTCTTTACCAAATTAATATATATATATATATATATATATATATACAGGGTGACCAACCCGTACCTATGGAGGTCCCCGGGCAGACCTCCGTGCGTACGGGCGTTCGGGGTCCCGTACGGGGCCCGAAACCCGAAGCCGTTCGTCCCCCGCCAAAAAATGTTTTGGGGCCTAAAAATTATTTTGTTTTTCTGAATTTGTTTTCATGAGTTCTCTTTATCGTGAGGTAGATGCCTGTAAATTTTCAAGTCATTTGGATAAGCCAAATAAGAATTAAAAATCGCCAAAGATGGCGGTGTCAAAACGTGCTTTCCCACGTATTTTTTCACTTTTCACTTTTTGTTTTCACTTTAGTTCGGGTTCTAAACAATTTTGTTCTTTTTTGAAACTTTTTTAGTGTTTTTTTTTATCATGTGAAGTACACATCTGTAAATTTTCAGGGCATTTATCTATGCCAAAAAAAAATAAAAAATCACCAAAGATGGCGGTGTCGAAAACGTGCTCGCGCACTCAGTAAATTTAATTCTCTTTTTATTTTTATTTATTTTTATTATTAGTATTTGTTTTCCATATTTTATTTTTATTTCAAATTTGGTAAGGAATTCGGTTGTAATTCTTAGGCAAATCTTGTTTAATTTATTTTTTTCCATAACATATATTTTTTTCAGATTTTTTTGATGATTTTTTTTTTTTTTTTTCTTGGGTCCGTATTCGGCCCGAACAGCGGAACGCATCCCCAAAGGGTCCCATACGTTCGGGCGTTCGGGTTCGGGTGTTTGGCCCGTCCCGAACGCCGGTTACCCTGTATATATATATATGTATTTATTATTATTATTTTTTAATTTTTTTGGCCCCGCCGGGCAAGTCAACCCGGGCCAATTTGGGAACCTCGGTTAAAATGACATTTGAGTTTTGTTATAAATGGCATGAAAAGTTCTATAAAAATTGAGTTTTTCGTTAACTACCTCTGTTATTTTTCTTATGATATAATATAATAGGAAGTGCAACCAAAGAGCTGCGTGGGTATATTGAGAAAAAATTGCAAGTCTTGGCTTGTAGGCGATGTTGGATGATGCTTCCACCCGTTTTCGATAGTAATGATGAGGTCTTCAACCTCTAACTATCGGTAAGTAATAAAATTTGAATTTAGGGAGGAAAATATTATATTTAGTTTTTTACAACCCATTTGTCGTAATTAAAAAAAAAAAAAAAAAAAAAAAAAAAAAAAAAAAAAAAAAACACTTTAAAATATTAATGCATCTTGATCGTCCCGTCATCGATTTGTTGCACCAATGGCCGAACAATGTACCACAAGTTTTAATAAAGGACACTTTACTTTACTCGCATGCTAGTAAAACTGTGTCAACATATTTCTCTCTCCTTTCCCAACTGACCAGTCTTTAGGTGTTTTGAGTTAGATTCGTTGCTTCTATACACTTCCTACTTCTTGTTTTCACACGCAAATATAATCTACCTAGTTAAGCCACCAATATATTTCCCTGCTTTGAAAACAAATACGCGTCAGTTAACACAATGCAGGCGAGCAGGGAACGACTGACAGCAGCGAACGACCGAAAGAAAAGCAAAAAAAAAAGAATAAAAAGGAAACAAAACTTTGCGGCAAGGCGGGAACGAAGGGAGGGGAGAGAGAGAGAGAGAGA